TTTCTCAGCTAGTCAAAATACCAGTAGAACTCAAAAATTTCTTGATCGGGTGAATAGCTGTAATCTAATTGACTTGGGCAGTTCCGGACCTCGCCTGACATGGACGAACAATAGACAAGGTATAGCTAACACCATGGAAAGACTTGACCGAGCTCTGTGTAATGCGGAATGGAGGACCATGTTTCCCGAAGCCACAGTGAGAGTTCATCCTAGAACTTATTCTGACCACTCCCCTCTTGTCGTCTACACTCAAGGTATGCACACTTTAAACCCCCGTAATAGGCCCTTCCGTTTTGAGGCTGCTTGGATGTCTCATCCCGACCTTATTAATGTTATTAAATCCTCTTGGCACTGTATGAACAATCAACTCCTTGGCTCTACTGCTGACTTTACTAATAGAGTTACTGAATGGAATAAGAAGGTATTTGGTAACATTTTTAAACGCAAACGGAGACTACTCGCTCGAATTGAGGGTATTCAGAAAGCTCTTGCTGAAACATTCACACACAGTCTTCAAAATCTTGAAAACATGCTTATTAAAGACTATAATGAGACTTTGCTCCAGGAGGAAATGCTTTGGTTCCAGAAATCTAGATCCGAACATATCACCCTTGGAGATAAAAATACCAAATATTTTCATATCTCCACTCTGAATAAAAGACGCAAGCTTAAAATTAATGCCCTCAAGAACGATGATGGTAATTGGGCTAGTGACACAGAGGGGATTAAAAATCTCATCCTTAACTATTTTAAAAACCTCTTTACTAAAAGTGACACTCAACATTTAGATCATTGGAATAATGTCACCCCTGCTAAATTCTCTAAGGAAGATAATGATGGCTTTTTGAAGCCGTTGTCCAACCTGGAAATTCTTCAAGCAGTGAGAAATATTGGTGCTTTTAAAGCCCCTGGTACTGATGGTATCCAGGCTATCTTCTATCATAACTACTGGAGTATTGTTGGCAAGTCTGTGTGTGAGTTTGTTAAGGCTTGCTTCCATAGCAAGTTCGTTCCTGATTCTGTTAATGAAACTCTCATTGTTCTTATCCCTAAGATCGACAATCCTGCCAATATCAAACAGTTTCGTCCCATTAGGCTCTGCAATGTTACCTATAAGATCATCTCAAAAATTGTTGTGAATAGAGTTAGGCCTCTCCTTGACAGCTTGGTGAGCCCCAACCAAAGTAGCTTTATTCCGGGTAGAAATGCGGTTGATAACATCATCGTTACCCAGGAGATTCTTCACACATTAAGGCATAAAAAAGGGAAGGAGGGAGGTATGATTTTTAAGATAGATTTGGAAAAAGCCTATGATAGATTGTCTTGGGAGTTTATTAGAGATACTCTTGTGGAGTTTAATATGAACGACAAATGGATCAATCTCATCATGAGTTGTGTCTCTAACAGCAAATCCGCTATTCTATGGAATGGAGAGGTTCTGGAAGGAATTAAGAATGAGAGAGGCTTGAGACAGGGTGATCCACTCTCCCCTTACCTCTTTGTCCTTTGTATGGAAAGACTCTCTAACATGATTAGTTCCAAGGTAGAAGGCGGCCAGTGGAAAGGGATTAAGGCAGCTCGCTCTAGCCCACCCATCTCTCACCTATTCTTTGCGAATGATCTTATTTTATTTGCCAAAGCTGATCTCTCCAATTGTGATACTATCATGTCAGTTCTCTCTGAATTCTGTGCAATTTCTGGGCAACAAATCAACCACTCCAAGTCCAAACTGTTTGTCTCCCCCAATTTAGCTCGTAACAAAGCCCTATCCCTTAGTTTCCATAGTGGCATCCCTTTAACCCAAAACCTTGGTAAATATTTGGGTTCTCCTATGCTTCATGGTAGAGTCAACAGAAACATGTTTAGGGACACCTTAGAGAAACTTCAATCTAGGTTGTCAGGTTGGAAGGCTAGAACACTCTCCTTAGCTGGTAGAACAACTCTTATCCAATCTATCACCTCTGCTATACCCAGTTACAATATGCAGACCATGGAAATTCCTAGAAGGGTCTGTGATGAAATGGATAGACTGAACCGTAATTTCCTATGGGGTGACACTGATTCTAGGAAAAAGTTCACCTAGTTAACTGGGAGAGTGTTTGTATTAGCAAAGACAAAGGAGGTCTAGGTATTAGAAAAGCAAGAGATCAGAATGCTGCTTTATTGACCAAACTTGGATGGAAGATGCTATGCGACAGGGAGAAATTATGGTGTAAGGTGTTGCAGTCCAAGTATCTGGGGAAGCACTCCTTTTTTAGTTGGCCCATCAAGAGAAGTTCTTCACATATCTGGAAAAGCATATGCAAAAATAGGGATCATTTGAAGAGGGGAGTTAAATGGAATGTGGGAAATGGTGAGCGCATATCTCTGTGGGGTGACTGGTGGTGCGGGAAACAAGCTTTATTTAATTCCTACCCCCTCCAAAAGAACAATACCCTCCAGAAAGTCAGTTCCATCATCAATGATGAGGGTTATTGGGACATAGGTGCTTTGGACAACATTCTCCAATCCCATGATATTCAAGAAATTCTTAAAATTCACAGGCCTCGATTTGTTACATACACAGATTCACCTGTTTGGATTGGATAAACCTGTGGCAACTTCACTACAGCATCAGCCTATCAAATCATTACAGCACAAGAAAGTGATGGGAGGGCTTGGACATGGCTTTGGAAATTAAAGATTCCCCCAAAACTGAAATGCTTCCTGTGGCTTATTCTAAAACAGAGGCTGCTAACAAACCAGCTGAGACTTGTGAGGAACATGACCACATCTGACATCTGTCCTAGATGTGGGTTGACAAGTGAAGATTTGAATCACTTATTCAGAACCTGCACCACCTCTCAAAACCTCTGGATTGCAATTAAAGATAGGAGTTGGTGGGGGGAAGGATGTGATAGGCCTATTCTTGAATGGATTACCTCTAATGTGAAAATTAAAAGTGACTATTTTCATAAAAAATGGCAACTGGTTTTCATAATTACTCTTTGGCAAATTTGGAATGATCGCAACAGATTAGTGTTTGATAATCTCATTCCTTCCATTCAATTCAGTCTCAAGAGCATAAGGAACTATGTTCATGAGATTGATGAGGCCTATCAATCTGTCCTCCACCCCAGGCCCCATCATCCTAGACTAATTCATTGGCTTTGCCCTTCTGCAGGAACTCTCAAACTGAATGTTGATGGCTGCTCCAAAGGCGATCCAGGCCAAGCTGGTTATGGGGGGCTGCTGCGGGATGATACGGGACTGTGGCTCTGGGGTTTCTATGGAAAATTGGGCCACTGTTATAGTCTTGAAGCGGAACTGTGGGCTATTTACAGAGGACTCACAATATTATTCCAAAAGGGCACCAAGGATGTGGTTATTGAATCAGATTCGGAGCTGGCCATCAATCAGTTACAGAATGGCCCGTGCCTTAATTCTCCATATAAAGCTCTCATAGAGGATGCGAAATTCTTGTTGAAAAGATGCAACTGCTCCCTGCAATATACACCAAGGGAGGGAAACAAGTGTGCTGATTGGCTTGCCAACATGGGTGTATCACAAGATGAACATGTTCTAGTCCTTGAAGAACCCCCTGAAGAAGTGAAGGCACTGCTCATTGCTGACATGACTGGAACTAGTGTTTTGAGGGATTAGTTTTTCTTCTGTCTTTTGTTTTCCTGTGTTGTTTCTGCTCGTCTGGTTGTTTTGAGCTTCCTTTTGAATCAAAAAAAGAAGACTAGTCCCCAAAAAAATCGCAATTTATTTATTTTGTGGGATAAAATGGTGTTTCATGCACCATATAATGCCAAAAAATAAAAAATAAAAAATAAAAACAAAAACACTCCACTCATTTTATAGCAATTAAAATATATATATATATATATATATATAATAGTAGTCTTAATACAATCATTTAACAAATTTGAATTGAAGGGTATGCTTGCCAAGTGCATATATGATGAGAATTGGGAAGTATCAGAGACAATCACATAGCCTAATCCAAGTTTCAAGTGTCCGACAAGGGTACTTGATTTCTTTTGGAGGGTCCATGTAATAACATAGGCTTAGAGTATGGAGGAGTATGGATCATATCATGTGTTTATAATCTAGATTGGTGTTATTGTAAGGATCGATCTCTCTCTAAACTCTCTAAAACAGGTCAAGGTATGAGTTCCTTGAGGGAGGATGGGAGTTGGGACAATTACCTTAATGAACCCTCAACACTAGCCATTATTACACAAGACCCAGAAGAAACCACGCGATGATCATGGGATCGCTTGGGTGCCTCATGACCACAACACCAACCCAGTAAGAGTTGTAGACCATGCACTCGACCTAAGCAAACATAATAATATTGTGATGCCTTTGGAGAACAAGTACAGATCATAAAGGATGTGTATTTGATTAGAGAACTGCTGGGCTAAGTCAAAGAAGGACCGAGCGCAAGGGTCATATTGAGATGGGCATGCTTAACCAGAGAGTGTAGTCTTGGAGAAAGGATATGCATAGGAAGGACATGCTTGGACAAAGAAGGGTATTGTGTGGAACCAAGCTCATGGGTGATGATGACATGGTAAGCACGTGGAGATGACGTGGTCATATGGCATGCCATGTAGGAGAACCAAATACATGTACCCACAACATTTAACCAATAGAAGCCTCATTTCAGTTGGTGCAATAACATTACAAGAATCACATTCAATCTTTAAAAAAAAAAAAACAAAGACAAAGGAGGTCTAGGTATTAGAAAAGCAAGAGATCAGAATGCTGCTTTATTGACCAAACTTGGATGGAAGATGCTATGCGACAGGGAGAAATTATGGTGTAAGGTGTTGCAGTCCAAGTATCTGGGGAAGCACTCCTTTTTTAGCACTCCCTTAGTTTCCATAGTGGCATCATTCCACACACATGAGCAAGCTTAAACAAACTCCATAAAAAAAATTAAAAATTAAAAAAAAAAAACATCCAGGATACACGATCATGTACACAGGATGAGCATGATTAAAATATACCTGAAATGGAGTATGACCAAGTGAATGTTGCAGAGGTTTAACACTAGAGATAGTGTGTTCATGAGGCAGCTCTCACACAATTTGATTCAATAACTGCAATAAGCATCATATAAACATTATTTCAAAAAGGGAATAACAGAGAGAATTTAGCTACATATTCTTGGAGTGAAATGTCTATGATCGCACAAGATATTACTTCAGCTTGCCAACCAGCATGAAGTCTAATGCCAGATGCATCATACATTACCTATATAAAAAAAAAGATGATTAGTCCAGGAAACCAAACTCCAAGTGAATGAATGCAATCGATGTCCCATGCAAACTGACAAGATAGATAACATAACAGTAAATCACCATATGATATCCAACATATCCACCTGCCCATGAAGCAGAGAGAATTATATAATGAGTATCAACAGAAATCCTCAATCCTCCTATACTTGGAAAAATGTTTTTTGGAGAACTACCCTTGATACTAACTGAGCTAAGCTTTTCTCAATGGATCTGTTTGTTTGTCAATATAAACACAAATTGTATAGAGACCAGGCAAACGCCTTTTCTCATTCAAATAAATGTGGTTTTTTGGTTCAAAATGGTCAAGCTAATCAACCATTCCAGTCAACCAGGTCCAAGTTGAAAAGCATAGATACTTCTAAGAAGGTGGCGTGTCTATGTTAGACATTCCCCAACACTCATCAGACACTTCCCGACAAGTATCATACACACATCCAAACATGTTCTATTATTTGAAGGGGGGAAAAAAAACTTAGGATTTAATAATAAAATAAATAAAATGTATAACTATACCTATTAATCCATACATCGTCCTCTAAACTTCTTAAATCCATGTTATATTGTATATTTTTATTAACTTTGAATGAAATATTCATATGTATGGCATACAATAAATATTTTTTATAAAAAACATATATTTTGCACATGTCGTCCATGTGTTGTATCTTGCATTTTTTGTGCTGGCGCGTCCTTGTTGTGTCCAAGTATTGTTAAGTGTCCATGTCCAAGTAGTGGTTGAACAAGTTTCTTAAAGAACTATTATAAATGACTACAACAGTATCCGAAGATAACAAGCACAATAATCAAATTTATGATGTCCCACAAGAACAAATCTAGTAATGTATAATTACAAGTATTGACTCCCAAGAGATAGCACACAATACAGCATTACAAGCATTATATTCTTCAATGGACATATCTTATTTACAAGAAGTACACATTTTCTTTTCGGGACCAATAATGATCTATTTTTATAATGAAAAGGGAGTGTGCCAGACAATAACTTCAGAATTTCATTAAGTTCCATGTAAAGCATTAGCAAATTGAAAGAGACTACAAAACTAGTTTGCTCCATCCAGTTCAAAAACATCACAAAATAAGAATTACTACCTAAGCAAGCACGGAGGAGAAAAAATTAATATAAAATCAAGAGGAAGACCTGGTTGAAAAAGTACATACAACATGCGTCAAAACAACGGCAATAGCAAATGTTGATCCTCCAGTTCCTTCTTGTAAACCAATAGCTGCTGTAAGAGTCGTAACAAAGGCTGAATGTGATAATGGCATTCCACCTGAACTAACCATCCTTCTAGAATCCCATCTCTTCTCCCTAACCCTGCACAACCCCCCCCCCCCAAAAAAAAAAAATGAAAGAACAACGATAAATCAATCAATATTTACAACTTCCGAATAGCGTAGAACGTCAAAAATAAGAAACAAGATTGATTCCTAAAATTGGATATCATGTTAATCCAATCATACAAATATGAGATGAGGATCAATAATTAAAAGAAAAAGAAGGTTACTTCTATTAATCATTTTCGAACATTAGAAACTCAATTTCAAATTTGTACTTCCATGATCCTTCTATTATTCTATTCTCCAAGGGCCAGTGGCACACGTTGCATCCATGCACGTTACCACAAAAAATCTCCCTGCATCTCTATCCAGCTCATCGATAAAGAGACTAATGAATAGTGTTCAACCCTAACCCTCTCTCTCTCCCACATGGAAGTCTTGTGTGGGGGGGGAAGATAAGTTTGAAAGTCCTTCCTCCACTCCAAGAAATGATAACCAGAAGAAGCTAAAAGAAAAAATTGACAACTTGAAGTTGGCAAGGAACGCTTCTTCAAATGTGATGAGTGAGATGAGAAAGCCTAGCCACCATCTCTCAAGTAACAATCATAATTTTCCCAAGCATGGGCAAGGAGGTTGCTTTATAAAATTAACCTATCCTCTCGGATTGTGACAGATTGGTTATCTTTTGGCCTAGGCTCTCAGGTTCTGAGAATTTTTATTTTAAAGTCTAGATCTTATGGGTTTTATGGTTGATAAGCCTACCCACCATCTCTTAATTAACAATCACAATTTTCCCAAACATGGGAAGGGAGGTTGCTTTACTTAATTAACCTATCCTCTCAGATTATGACAGATTGATTATCTTTTTGCCTAGGCTTTTGGGTTGGGCTCAGATTGTTACAGATTGATTATCTTGTGGCCTACGCTCTCGGTTACTAAGAGTTTTTATTTGGAAAACTAACAAATCAGTGTATGTTTGGGAAAAACAATTCAGATTAATGGTAAACTTTACAACCTTTAATTATTAAGGTCATAAGCTTTTTCACAAGTTTGTAATTATTTTGAAAAAGTACAATTGATTTGTAATTTCCCTTTTTATTTTAGGGTATAGGTTTTGGTCCATGACTTGTGCATAATGCCCCAAAAGGGTCTTTCATTGAGTATATCTTTACCATTTGGTTAATTAAATGTTCACATTTTAAAAAAAAAAAAAAAAATCTGGTAGCGTTTGGTAGAGTTTTAGAATTATGATTTGGGAATAGAATTGTATTTTGAGTTTGTAAGTTTTGAAATGATGATTTGAAAAAAGAAAATTTGCTTGGATATGAGTTTTGAATTTTTAATGTGACAAATGAAATGAGAAAAATTGTTTGGTAATGAGTTTTAAAAAGAGTTTTCAAAAACTTATAACTCATAACCATACACAACTCAAAACTCTGTTGAAAATTCTATTCAAAACTCATAACCAAACGTTTTTTAACATTCAATTCAAAAAAATAATTTGTCATTTTGGTCTAAAAAAATAATTTTTATATTTAAAAATATCAAAAACAAATATAATTTTTTTTTTCAAATAATAGGTAGCAATTGTTTAAAAAAAAAATTACAATGTTTTAGTCAACCGACCAGACGTCTAGGGATGACCGAGTAAACCTAAAATTCAAAACCCCTCATAATGGAGAAGACGAAAGAGAGAGTAGCCAAACGTGAAAGACAAATATGTTTTGAAATGTGTGGTAGAATCATATTTTCAAAACTCCATCCAAACAATGCATGCAACCGGATGGTGGAATTATAATTACAAAGTTGCACCAAACGCAGCCATTTCCAACATGAAAGCATAATTTTCACCCAAATCCCTATCAAAATCGGTGGTGCTACATGCACCAATTGGTGTATCCTAATTATAACATTATTATTATTATTGATCTCACACATTCTACTAATTACAAATGCAAAAGTTTCTTAAATTATCCCACGTCATCAACCGGTAAGTGGTGTATATAGCATTATTCATCAAAGAAATTAAAATCAAGAAATTAAAATCGAATAATAAAGCAACAATAATTAGTGCCACAACTATTGTTCTTCACCAAAGAAGAGAGATAAGGAATACCAGGCGATGAAGGGCTTGAGAAACTGAGCGAGAGCACAGGCGAGGAACGCAGAGAGGAGAGGGAGGTTAACAAACGGGTCTGATGAATATGATCGAAGACTTGACGACGCATCAGTAACCGTGATAACCTCGTCCATTGCACACACAGAGAGAGAGAGAGAGAGAGTTTAGTTTGGGATTGGAAATTTGTGCACCGACGTCCGTATTGGTGGACGCACACGGCACAGTTGGACAAAAAGGAGTGGTGATGGTTGACTGCTGGTAATGGAGGAACATATATTTACCAAAACCAGGGGGTCTTCAAATAAGAAAGGGCAAATTACAAACGGGTTGGTGAAAATACAAATTTTTTTGAGATTTGAGAAATTATATTTTGTTATCTTAAGTTTATATTTTCATAACAAATTACTTTTTAAGATTTTTATTTTTATATAGATTTTTTTCTAATTTTTTTTAATTTGTTATAAAAATTTGACCTTCATAATTTGTAATTTTTCAAACCTCAGGAGGTATTGTAATTTGCCCAATAAGAAAAAAATTTCTAAGTAGGGATATAATTTTTCAAACCTCAGGAGGTATTGTAATTTGCCCAATAAGAAAAAAATTTCTAAGTAGGGATAGTCCATATCTTTTTTTAACTATACATTGAATAATCATTTCTTTTATCATTGAATAATTAAAATAATCCATTTTTATTTTTTTAATTTTATTTTATGTTTTAATGTTATAGCATTAATGTCCATATTGATATAAGTTTATTTTTTTTTAAATTGATTATATATTAATTGTAAATTGTGAATATTCATATTATATTTTAGTATGTGTTTTATTTTTTTGAAAGTTAATTACATAGTTGTTGTTTTTGTTACTATACTTATTCCTTGAACATTCATTTTTATTACCATTGAACAACTGAAATAGTCAATTTTCACCTTTTTTAATTTTGTTTTATATTTTCACATTATAGTGTAAATGTTTACATTGGTATGAGTTATTTTTTTAAAACTAGTTGTATGTTAATTATAAATTGTGAACATTTACATTGTATTTTGGTATGAATTTTATTTTTTTGAAAATTAGTTACATGTTTGTTGTTTACTGTGAACATTCACATTGTACTTTAATATGTGTTTTGTTTTTACAAAAGTTAGTTATATATTTGTTATTTACTGTGATTGTGAACATTCACATCATATATTGATTTTCATACAAACTTTTTGTTGTGTTATTTTTAAAAATTTTAAATTATAAAAAGATTCAAAATTTATAATTTGAGATTTTCTCAATAGAATACGGAAAAGATTTTCTTCTTAAAATGAAGAACTATTGTTATGTTTTAGTTTCAAAATAGAAACATGTGCAAAAAATTAGAAATGATAATTTGGTCATATTATATTAAACAGGGCTTAATGGAATATTCAAAAATAATACGAGTTAGATAGAATAAAATACTTAGAAAGAGTATTTATCAAAAAATGATTCATTTTCTTTTTTAGTTATAGCATTATTTTAGTTATATTTCATGTTATATTTATGACATTTTTTTTAATTAAGTTAAAAAATTAAAATTATATCATTTTTCTTTTTAATTATAAGATACATATAAAATGTGTACATCATAATGTTTCTACAACATCATTACTTTCAATTCACACTAATTTTTTTATTTTTTCTAAATACAATTGTATTCTTTAAAATAAAATTACAAATATACACAGCCTCCTTCTCAATCTTACCTATCATCCACAACTTCCTACTTCCGTGACCCTCCTTTCCAACCCGTCACCGTGAAACAATATTTAAGTTTTGTTTGGCATATATTAAAAAAATTAAAATATTAAAAAGTCACTATCTTATTTAAGTCATATCACCACTTTACCACATAATTTCAAACTCAATTCATACTCAACTTATATTTTATAAAAAATTAAAAAATATATTCATTTAAAACATTTCAAACCACCTCTAAAAAAAGAACAATAACAATAACAATAACAATAATAATAATAATAATAATAATATAAAAAGGGAAGGGATTTTCAAATAGAAGGGAGAAGAAGAAAACGGGACTAAAAAGAAGAATGGAGGCGGAGTCGATGGCGAGAAATGAAAAGGCTGGCGAAGGGAAGGAACGATGACAAGATAGCAACGATGTAGTGGATGATAAATATTAGTGACTAATGAGTTACACTTAAGGTTAGAGTTTAAATATTGAAAATAAAATGATTATAAAAAATAAAAATGTGTGAATTGATAAATAATTTTTACGTACGTGCAAATTAAGTGCTGATGTTAACTGGAAAAAAAGCAATGTACGGACATATTAAGTGCTGATGTTAACTGAAAAAAAGTAATGTACGGATATAGAAGCTCTCAATATTAGTTATTCAGCTGCTAAATATTTCCAGTGGAGTCGACTCCAGGGACGTGATGGACTACCATTCGTTGAAAATAAATAAATAAATAAAATAATTTATTTTTGGGCCAATGGTGTCTCTACACGCACGACCCCCCCAAGTGGCCCTCACTAAGATCTTAGGCATTTTTCATTAGTTATTAGTTATCGTTTGATATTAAGGAGTTATTTGGGATGACCTAAATAAATGTATTTTTTATCTTTTTATAAAAAGATGTACAAAAAAATAGAGAGGTGATGTGATGAAAAAAAAATAAAAAGATAAATTATTTTTAAGTTGTCAAACTTGACTTAAATTATATCAATATTATTTACGATTGACTTTGATCTGCAAAATCTTTATAAGGTGACTCGCTTATTTAATGGATATATTTAATCCGGTGAAAGAGTTTATTTCAATTCGATGACTCCTCATATTAGGTCAGGTTTTGGTAAATCTCAAAAAATTTAAAAAGTCAAAAAGTAATACAAAAAGTAAAAAATCATTACTATTTATAAATAAAAAATATTAAAAAAATATTTTATACATTTTTGTAATATAGAAGTTTGAATTACACTGTCATTACATATGTAAAGTCACAAAATTTGATGGTAATGTTGGATCCTTGGGGCTTATTAAGGGTTCCGTTTTGATAATCTTAACCGTCAATATGTAGAACTCGTCGAGTATTATATGCCTATAAAAAATTATGTTGATCGGATATCGTTAATTATATGATCAAATTAATTTTGTATAAACAAAACGGATGGTATGATAGTCAACTGTTAAAAAAAAACTAATCCGATCATATAACTGTCGATATTCGATCAACATGATTTTTTACAAGAATATAATACTCGACAAGTTGTACATATTAAACAGTTCAGATTATTAAAATGGGACCCGTGGTGGCCCTCACGGACCGATCATCACTGTCCAAACACTTTACCCCAAATAAGCAATAATTTACTGTGTAAGATACACTGCCCAAGCAGGGCAGCCGTACAACCTACTCAACTTTCTTCCCTATACACTTTATTTATATAATTTTTTATTATACATTTTTTTGTAAAAAGATAAAAATTAACCCAAACATCTATATTTTTTTTTCAACTTTTAATTTAAAAAGATAAAAAATACACTTATTTAAGGCACTCCAAATAATTCCTTAATTTGCAAGCCTAGTGCTCAAAGTTGAGATAGGACAATCATTTTGTTTTAATGAATGTGACGGGACCACGTACATTGAAAGCAATTTGTGTGGATGAAAAAAAGAAGCCATGCAATTCGGGACTCCATTTAGGGTAGAGTAGAGCTGGTATAGATTTATTCGAATCTTATAATTCGTTTAATTTGAGCCGATTCATATATAAATGGATAGTTTTACAGGCATAATGTATACGGATATAGTTTGAAATATGACATGATTACGGGTTACGAACGGGTTACGGGTTTAGCCCACACCTACACCGGTAAGAATCCGCCCGCACTTAGATTTTTTTTTTTTATCTATTTTTTATTTTAAACCTAGACCGTTATTGTTTTATTATTGCATTTTGAATGAATGTAAAAGTTAATGAATAATTACTTTTAAGTAAGTTTAGGATTTTGAATCATTTTATTTTAATTGTATTGTTGGGTAGTAGATAGTGAATGAGATTGATGATATAATTTAGAATTTTGAAAGATTTGCTTGTGTTAGTTTATAATTTGATTTAAAAAATTTAGAATTTTAAATGATTTGTTTGTATTAGGATTTGATTTTGTTGTATTTTAAATTTTATAAGTTTTAATTCATTAATTATTAATGTTGGAGCATTTTAGAAAATGGAGGGAAAATGACCCAAAATAAATATTTACAAAATGGAAAAAAAAAACTTCAAAATAATTTTTTTTTAAAAAAAGTCCAATCTGCAAACCGCCTGCACATCCGCGAATCCTATCTGTACAAACTATAAGATGCACTGTGGGCGGTTGCGGGTTGAATTTTTCCCAAATCGCATACATACAGACGGGTCCAAACCGATGCGTAAATCGTCCAAAACTGAACCACAACCACCCCTAGGATAGACTCTTTTTTATACCTTCATATTTCTATATCTTTTTATATTTCTTCATATCTTTTTTACCAAAGATCAAATCGTTTATTTCATAAATTTTATAATAAAAGTCATTCATGTAAAAAAATTAAGTTTCTTCAAAAAATTATAAATAAAAGAACAAAAGATATTTATTTTATAAAATAGATGGTTTAAGTTTACAATCATATTTACCATTCATTTTATAAAACAGAAATTTTTTTTTTCTTCTTAAATTTATAATTTTTTGATGAAATTCATTTTTTATATGGATGATTTTTATTATTAAACTTACGAAATAGAGGGTTCGGTGCTGGTCTAAATTGAAACTTAAAAAAAATATAAAAAGATATAGAGAGATGAAATATAAACGAGATCTTATCCATTAAGTAGGATATTTGGATTTGTATGTTGTTTTTGAATATTAAGGGGTTATTTGGGATGACCTAAATAAGTGCACTTTTTGTCTTTTTACAAAAAGATGTGCAGAAAAGTAGAGAGGTGATGTGATGGAAAAAAGATAAAAAGATAAATTATTTTGTGTATGCCAAACTTGGCCTAAATTTGTAAATAAGAAAAAGTAGTCATGTTTTTCTCTTTTGATTTTATTCTTTTTTTTTTTTCTCTTAAGAAAAAAAGCAACCATTGTACACTAGTGGTAACCCATGCTATGCACGAAAATCGGGAATGTATAAGTTAAATAATTTATTATACTTATTTTTGTATTATAAAATATAAAATTCTTATAAATTTAAAATATAATAGGGAGTTATA